ATGGCACCCGATATGTTCTATTGCATGAAACTTCTGGAGGAGACCGGAATATGTGTTGTACCTGGAAGTGGATTCGGCCAAAGAGAAGGAAGCTACCATTTCAGGTACAATTTCTGTTTTTTTAAAAATCAAATTAATTGTAATAAGTACCATCCCAGTACTTCCTCTTCTGATTAAATACAAGGAATTTTATGTCAGTTTATGTTGTCTCACGTTCTACTGGCCATTTTCTGTGGACTGACAGCTAGGTCAAAGACATGTTCTGCTAGATGAGCTATTCAGTTTTTTATGGTTTTCACAGCTTGCTGACATTCTGTTTTTATACACTGACATTTGAAATGCTTTCTCCACAAACACAAATAATAATAATAGCTGATACTCTAAGCTTAAAGTTGGCTAAGGCATTACAAAAATTGCCCCGCTTTCTTCTGGGGGAAAGGGGGGATTAAACAGTGTTTCCATATGAAGAAACTGCATGAAAAATACAGTATCTTCCCTGTAAATCTCCTCCTTAAACATGCTGAATAACTATTCATTTTACTAAAACAAGATACTGGACTAAATCTTCTAATACCAAAACTGTAAACATAAAGTCTATTGCTTTTGCTTCCAATAAACAGCACTTCACTCCTGCAAGGTACTGATAGCTAGTATTTATCATGGCATTTAGATCTGAAGCAACAACAGAGGGTACCTTTAGCCATGATAGGTCTGCGGCAGGTCTGCGGTATCTGGGTCCATGCAGCTCCAGAAAAAAACTAGTGTGAGTCCATTCCTGTACCAGTGTGGGAAAAACATTTTGTTCTGTAGGTCTTGCATGCAGTCTTGCATACATACTCAACATGATTTTCAGGTTATGCAGAAGAAGGAAGAAAGAGACTAACAACTGCAGTGTGGGATGTTGCATTGTTTTAATGCTTCTGAGTTAAGATTTCAGTTCAGAAAGAAATGTACATTTACTCATAACTGCCTGCACCTAAAGATCAAAAAACTGGGTGTAATTTCACATAATTGCCCCCAAAATAGAAACTGAATTGCTGTTATTTCTTACTGATAACCTTCTTTACCAGTCAACAGAAAATAACAATTCTTGAATTCCTGTATATTAACCAATGGAAACAAATCGCTCCAATAGTATAGTTCAATTAAAGCAAAAATGCAGAAAAGAGAATCACATCAAAACAGATATTAAGCTTAACACGTTACTCACTGTGCCCTGAGAGTAATCAAGATTTGTGCAAAGATCACAGTTTAGTTTGTTTTGAAGATAATGTGAGTTGTTTTGGTTTTTTTTTCTTTAAATATTATTTTTCAGAATGACCATTCTTCCTCCAGTAGAAAAGCTGAAGATCCTACTGGAGAAAGTGAAAGACTTCCACATAAAGTTTCTTGAAAAATATGCATGAAACTACTGTGGCTTTTTCCCCTCACCCCGTCCCCTTCAAGGCGAATGCAGAAAATGAACAAAGATGTGCTGAGAATGTGCTGTTCATCTAATTTAACTAAATTCAAAATAGATAGAACGAATCTCAGATACTGCTACAACTCACTGGGCTATTAAATTTAATGTCTGGTATAGAAGACATTGCTACACCAACATTTCTGAAAGGGGAAGGGGAGAATGTGAAGAAAGCAGTGAGAAGAAAGAGACGGTAAATGATTTTGTGCCTTGATTGGAAGTTACATTCATGAACTTTGACTCAATAGGTTGGGGAAGGAAGTTGCTCATTAAAAGTACTACTGTTGTGTGGTTTTTTTACAAAACAGAAATGCCAAGAACAATTGTTTAGCTAGGAACATGTTTCCCATCTTAAAATTCTACTCAAAAAAAATTCAAAAGCCTACATTATAAGTATTGTTTGGTTTCATTGTTGTTGTTGTTGTTAAGTATGAAGTGTTCTCCAAATCTAAATAAGCATGTAGGTACAGCGTGCTTATTTAAAAAAATATCTTTAGCAGATGTGTGCAGATAAGTTTGAACTTCTGTTAAAAAGAAATCCTGCCATCACAGCCTAATCTGAGTGGAATATACAGTTTACATCAGAGGAATGAACATGGTGTCTGCCTGAACCCTATTTTTATGAAACTGAAATATAATGAGGAATATTAGCTTCTTATTCCTATGCTATTCAACACATTATCCCAGCATAAGATAAGAGCACTGAATGCTTCCTCTCACGACTCTGTAAGGCTCCTGTTAACTCACATCTCTATATACGGAACATGGTAAGTTCCTGTTTCAAAGCAGGTGTGAGTGCTATCAATCCTTTGAAGTAGGGCAAAATACAACACTATTTCAGAATCACTTTATCTATGAAGAACATTTATTTGGAACCACATAACTGAGCGACCTGTTAGCTGGCCAAAATCCAGCTTGAACTGGCAAGGACTAACAAATGTTGTTACCAGGAGATAGGCTGGGGGTGGTTTCTAATGAAAGAAAAGGTATTTAAAAGGAAAATGTCTTGCACCAAGCATAAAGATAATGATAGTACAGCTCACACATAAATCTTCCACAGTCATACTGCTGGCTGAATGATCCTGGGTGCTTATTAAAACCCAGCTAAACAAGGTTGCTATCTAGGAGTACAGCTGTAGTACTCTACTAATCTATGCCAGTTTCCCTGCACAACGAAATAAGGCTTCTCTCTAGAACTGGAAGCTGGACACCTTCTGCTAGCACTGATAAAGGACTGAAGGAACATAGCTTCCAGTATTCAACCATGAAAGCATTAGCATTTGTTAGGTTTAGGCTCAACTTTACAAAGTTTATTCATTAAGAATATCTCATTTAGTCTAGTCATTAAGTTATTATTTACAAGTAAACTCATATTAATGTCTACTAGCACTTTGTTAGGCTGCCTTTGTAGCTGGTTCAACATCCTATGCTGATCCAGGTTACTAAAGCCAAGGGCTAGAGAATCACCATATAGAATATGTGCCAATCTGTTATGTGTGGAAGACAAGAGATGTTGCCAATAATTGTCCTTGCAACAGCAGCTACTAGCCTATGACATACCGTTAGCAGCTGGTGTACTGCTCACAGTTCCTTAATGAAGTCTGTGAGAAGAATTTAGTACTTCTTAATCACCTACCAGTGGTCACAGGTTCATAAATGAAAATGGTACGCTGTTACACAAAGTTACTATGGAGGCTTGGAAAAAAAAAAAATTATACTTTTATCCTTGGAGAAATGGACTTCTTGGAGGACAGCAGACTGAGAACACTTATGTTGCTACTATCCATTGATAAATACAATCTTTTCTCTGTTAGCAGTCTCTACTTGGCATCCTTAATATGCACTAATAAAAAAAATCCAGAAAGCAAAACTGTAGTGAGAGGTCAGAATATTGATGTAAAAATAAGACAAACAGCACTTTCCTATTCTAGGAATGTGTCCAAATCAGATCTGGCTTTGGACTCATAATGCAGTGTAGATTGAAGCTAAGATCTAACAATGGAAGTTAGAATATTTTTTTATATTTTTGTAACTACAGCTTTTTCATGGGGTAGTATTTGTAATTAATAAGTCAATAGATTTTATATTTGCCTTGCATTTGCACCTGATACTTCTGGAAAAAAAAATGTAAAGGTTTACAAGTTTCTAATGATAATTTACAGGTGTGAAAGGCTTTTTGTTTTAAGTCAGGACAGCAATTCTTACACTTTTAAATCAAATTATAATGGCATAAACTCATTTTTTTCTAAACATTCTATTATGGTGCCTTTTATGTTTCTGACATTATAAGGGATAACACTTTGTTCTTGATGCATCTCATATGGAAGGGTGGTGATTTCTATTGTCCATCCACAATATTTGTATGTACTGTGATAAGGTTAATGTGCATTTTTGTGGAACAATCCTGTAAAGCTCAGAAAAGAGGCTTATTTTCAATGTCTTCAAAATATTTCATTAATAACAGACAATCCTTACTTTCAAATGCATGCTTCTAGGTTTGATTTTCCTACAGGTGCTCCTTATAATGGTATTTCAGATGTATGAGACTTCCAAATAATAAAGCACATGTTAAAAAAAAAAAAAAGGCTTATAGTCCTCCATTTCCTATGTCAATGAAGCAACACTTGCTGGATTGCACTATAAGGCATTTAACTTTATCTTCAGACTAGGACTTACTTTAATCCAGATATATATCTATATACATATATATGCATATCCCAGCGTCACTAAAAGAAAGCAAAAGCATGCTAAGCACCACTAAAAAAAAAAAAAAAAAAAAAAAAAAAAAAAAAAAAAAAAAAAAAAGGTTACTCTCTTCTTTGTATCAGGTATTTAGGTATTTGAGTGTTTTCTGGAGCAGAAAGATTTACCTGGGTTTTTGGGGGAGTAGGTTGGTTGTTTTATAAACAAGAACATGGTCCGATTGAAAATGGTTATATTATGAACTGTCAGATTTTTTACAGTTTTTGAGTGACATAGGCTGTCCCATCTGGATCAGTAGATAAGGATACTGTGCCAGATACGTGATACAGAAAAAGCTACTAACTTCAACATCGACTTGCTTTGCAACATCAACTACATACACTGTGTGAAAACCACTAGTGTTTTAAACCATTATCTAAATTACATTTGACACAGTTCCCTGGTCAACAAAGAATACAGGTTTGATCATTTGTACAAAACCTAAGATACTCATACCTCTGGTGTGATTTTTGATTTGGATGTATGAAGATTGTTTCTGCAAGGAATTCTATTTTTAAGGATACATCTTTATAGATTCAGTACTATGTGCAGTCCTGCCTTTCTGAAGTTCCACGTTGTTACATGTCTATTAAATCCTCTCTTGGCCTGATCAGAGTTTACATGGCCTGTGACCATTTGCATCAGGCAGACCGGGTTACTGCCTCTGCTAGCTCTGAAGCGCTGCGTATTCCAAACACTGAACAGCTGAACTGCTAAAACCAAGCCAGGCTCTGAAGCAAGGTCCTTCCCACACAGCAAGAAGGTTTCCCAGTGCCTGCCCAAACCCTGGCAGCACAACCCCGGGGATGAGAGCCGACACCTGCCCTGCCGCAGCTCCCCCGGGGCCGAGGTCAGCAGCGGCCGCTCCAAAGCGACGAGGGAAAAGGCCCAGTTAATTCAGCGGCGCCCGGACGAAGCGGGAGTGCGGGCGGATGCCGACGCCTGCCCCGCTCACCCCCGTCAGGGCGCGGGGGCCCGGCCCATCCCAGTCTAGTATTTTCTGTGCATAAAAACTTAAGCACTTCTTTCCATCTGAATCTGTTCTAGCCATAGAGATTATTGGTTTTTCATTAACTTGAAGTTTTTTACTACTGAGCCTTTCTCATCTAGTTTACCTGTGATGATAACTGAACAAGTTTAATTTTAACCTTATTTATGCAGCATTTTAAGCTGTGGTGTACAGTTGGTGTCAGATGTACATTCTGGTGAGAACTGATGTTTTTGGAATCTGTCTTGTAGCAGGAAATTGCAGGGGCCACACAAAGATCCAACCTAAGACTCCTGAAGAACTTAAGTTAACTGTAAGCCTTTGCTGAGTATGTATTTCAATGTCTTTCTTGAAAACTTCTGCCTAAAAGCATTAGCTTTCAGGAGCACACTGTATGAATTCAGGTTATATACTGTGTGAGGACGCTTAGTATCCTTTCAAACATTAAACATACTGAAATGGCCTAAGATTTTCATTGTTGTTTTGTAGGAGAGACTATCCTGCAAGACTTGACTCTAGTTCAAAGGCAACATACGTGCTAGCTGAGGTTAACTATTTAAACAACAGTAATCCTGAATTACTTGTTTAGCTTCATAGCCCATAAGAACCTGTAGATAAGTTATGGAAGTAATAGTATATAAACAAGTTAGATTTTCTTGACTTACAGATTTGCAAGGAGGGGAGGAAATGGCTCTTGCTGCTGTGGTGGTAAGTGTGCGTTTTCAAATTCTATCACAGCTTAGAGGCGTCTTCTTACTGTAAATGTTTCATTCAAATAGTTTTGTTTGACTCTCTGTTTAAATAGAAGATGATATAAAAAGGCTGGACAACCAGCTATGGTTCAGTTATCAACATTACCTAAAGACTTAGGGTCATCTGCTAGCAGAAATCTAGATGTTTCTGAAAAAATAAACTGGCGTTCAGCCAGTGTCAATTCTGTCACTTTCTTTTATGCCCTTTTAGTTCAATCCTTTTTGTAGGATAATATGCATTTACTTAGCTAAATCTGTTGACTTTTGCTTGTCGGATAAACATTTTTTTCAGACTGACTGTTCTGTAGGAGACATACCAAATCCAAAACCGGTGAGAACCAACAGCAAAAAAGGCAAGTCAATCCATTAATACATAGCTTGGTTCTTAAATTTTCTGTATTGGTTTGAACTGAGCATTTGTATAGTGAATGCTAAGGAAGGGAAAGTATATAACTAGAAGTACAACATACACAACCCCCCAGCATTCAGTGTGGAGGATCATGGGCTTTGCTACTGTTGAGGTACGTTAATACGTAAGTGTTCCTGCCCTTTGGATTTATCACTGAAAATGGCAAGAAGAGACAGATTTAAGTGACTTGTCAGTGCTTTATAGTATATCAGAAAAGCTAGGAAAGTTCCCCATTTTCTCATAGGTTTCCCTTTGACCTCCTGCCCATTGAGGCTTTTAAGGAAAATACTGTTTCTCTTCATACTCCAAAGTAATCAATAAGAAGGACACTACCACCAAAATGTAAATCTATTTTGTCTGGGGATTGAAAGGTTATCGTGTGTCTTTCAACTGTCCCATGTGTCACAGTGTCTGTGACGAACACACAGAGTTTGTTTTGAACTCTGTCCCAGGAGAATGACCATCAGGTAGCAGAGCTACTAGGTAGCTGTCACTGGGTAACAGGGCTTCAAATAAATGAGTTTGGTGTTTTGAGCTCTTGATGACGTTTTTATTTTCCTTGTCTTTCTAATGTGTTTTTAGTTAAGGTAACTACGATTGTTGAATATGAAGATGCCAAGCATATTTCTGCAAAGAAGAAAGTAAGTTTATTCTGAACAAACAGCATGACGGTTTAATCGGTTCTGACCTGCTATGAACCCTGCTAGATCCATGAATGGGTAGGCGAGTGGCCTGCTGCTTGTTTGAAACATCAGTTGGTTTAAATTCAATGTATTTTAAGTTAAGCAGGGCCAAACCATATAGTAAATTAATTTCTTAATTTATACACTTCTAGTAACTCATTCACACTGACTTGCAAATACTGGCATAGCCATTCTCTCTTGATTTGCCAGTAAGTCTTGATTGTTTGAGGAACGATTTATTTTTTTTTTTTAAATTCAACTTCATGTTTTCATACATGCTTTTCTATATTTGAATGACTTGTGCATTCTTTTCCACCTTTATCTCTAAACCAAATAGCACAGGTGTATTAATTTTACCACCTCAGTCCATCTGTGCCATGCAGTGCCTCAGCCAGACACTGAAGTATGTGGCAAGATGACAACAAAAAGATTATATGTAGAGTTACAGGCATTAATTATAAGAGGAGTTACAAGTTGGAAGGGTGTATATTGTAAAGGTGGTTGGTTGTACAGAACTTCAGTATGAACAAAGATGTCTTGGCATTATGAAACTATTGGTTTGGAATGCGTCTCTGCTATTTTATGTATGTGTAGAACTATAGAAAAGGCAGCACTATGGGGATTGTTCTTTTTTAACAGGAAATTCTTACAGTGTTGTTCCCTGGAAGTATCTTTCATTTTGCCTTAAAATGCCACTTTTAACTGCAATCTTACATTTTCAGGTTTCCAAAACAAAGTCGTTGGTTTCTTTGGCTTCTGGTTTAAATAGCAAACTGAACTCTCTTTCTAGGTAAGACTGACCTTTGATAGCTTATTTAACTCACCTGAACTTGAGCATGCTGAATAAAAGCCTTTTCAGATGAAGTAGCTGAGATTTGAGGCCAATAGGAATCTGCTAAAGATGTCTTCCATGACTTGAACCAGATACATTGTAGTGATGTGAACCCTGAACAAAAAAGCACCTCTAGCTGATGAAGTGATGTAGTTCTCTCTCTCACTCACTGAATGGTGCACAGTTCTGAATCTATGTAATCAGTATAGCTTTCCAGACAATACGTAATGGAAGAGAGTGTAAGGGAAACGTCTTTGTTGCTCTGTTCAAGCTAATGAATTGTTCTGTCATAATTTTGGCCTCATACATAGCTGAAAGGGAGGTGTCATTAGCAGGAAAATACATATTTGCAGAAGCACCTTAAAGCTACTTGCAGTCAAGGTGGACCAAATTCAAGTCTTATATAAAAAAACTGGTGGATATCTGCATGAAATTTTTTTTTTTTTTTTTTTAGAAGCTCCTGCTACAACTCTGACTTTGGTGTGCATACTTGTACCCACTGGCACTTATTTTAATAAATTCCAATTGTCTTCAGAGAAATGGAATATAAGTAATTTATCAGTGTTTAATGTGCTTAAAAGAAATTTTAAAAACATCTTAGCTAGGATTAATTACTTTCTTGAATTAGGATTATAGAATTTTGGGCCCAACAAAATCAAACTAGAGAAGGCTGCTCTTTCTGGGGAAGTCTAACTTTTCAGTCTTTGAAGGTTGCTTTTATTAAAGTACACTAACACTGGGCCAAAACCATGTGCCCTTACAATATCTCTAAAATGTGTGTGGGGAAAGAGCAATAAGAGGAAAGTGAGATAAATGATCATCAAGATAACTGAGTTAGAATCCAAAACTGGAAGAAAATTTTTCTTTGGATTCAGGACAACCACATGGACAAATACCCTGAGAAGTAATAGAGAAAAAATAATTTGTGCTGAAAAACAAACTTCCCAAGAAACTTTTCCAAAACTCAGATAGAAGGCTGTGGATATTCCCTTAATTATACCCAACTTGGGTATTGCAGCCCTCTTTTATCTTCTAGCATAAATGATCCTTTCATTCCCCTATGGTGCTAGGTCCCATCGTATCACATCTATCTCAGGAGGACTACTTCACATGTATATACACTAGATCTCTACCATGGAGCACTTCAGCATTCTCTAATTCACCAGTTGTTTATCTTCTTCCTAGCTAAAACTCTACAGTAATAAGGAGAAAATTTTAAAAAAAACAAAACAACCACTTTTTTTTTTTTAAGGTCTGTTTACTCTTATGCAAATGTGACTGAGACCATTAAGTCTCCTGCTTCTGATGGCAGTGCCACAAATTTGAAAGCCACACCAAAGACATCTAAAAGGTAAGGGGTTTTCAGCTAATTCTTAATAAATAATTTGGTTATATACCAAGACATTATATATCTACATTAGTATCAATCTTGGTATTAATCATGATCAAACTAGATTTAATTGGTCTTTATGATCTGGCACTAAATTTGGTGGCAGGGATGGTGAACCAGTCACACCTCCTGCTTTGATTGTGGTTGTTAACTTATGTTCTCATAGGTACAGGATTTCATGTCACAACTAAGCTAGCTTAAAAAAAACAGATTTAGAGTATAAATTCTACTCCCACCCACTGTTGTTTGAAGGTATAGTTTAGAGCTTAAACTAATTCTCAGAGCCCAAGCTTGATTAAAATGTCACCAATACAGCTGTGTTTTGGAAAAAAAAAAAAAAGCAAACCCCCAAGAACCCCAACCAAATAAACTGACAATCAGTTCTTTGCATATTGAAAGTTAAGGTTTTCCGTTACTATCATTCACCCTACACTACAGAGTTTGGTTTTGGCAGAAGTCATCAGCTGAGTTGAGGGGGAGAAAAACTTCAATGGGTTATGAAACTAGTAAGTGCTTTAGTTTCACCTTGGCCTGCTATAAATTTCAGAGGTGTGTTTCCATGCAGAAGATACCCAAATCTTACATTTTTCAAGTGGAATAAGAACAACTGTATCATGAAGGAAGCTTAGGAACTTTGGCATAAGGCACACCTTGTACCTCTGAGAGCTAGCAGCTTCAGTATTTCTTGATACCTGTCTCTGTAGTAGACAGATACAGCACGTGTCTTAAGCCATGCGGCATGAAGTTTCCTCTTTCCAAAACCATAAGCATTCACTGTTGATAGTGGAGGGGATATTCTTGTTACTGAGTGGTCCAAATGTCAGCTTGCTCACTGGCCTGTAGGACAGGCTTAGAAAGTTACTGCATTGTTTCAGGGTCATAAAATGTTACCTAGTGGTAAATGCTGTGATGGTTGAATTTCCTGTAGTCAGAAAATTCCCAGGCAGAACTGGGAAAATTTAAATACGATCATCTTTGTATTAAGTATGTTTGCTACTACTTGCATTTGCCTCATGCTTGAAAATTTCCTGCAGAGCATAGGAAGTTAACCTCAGAGGAATATTTTTATTGTATTCTAGTGCTGGACTACAACAGACTGTCTCAAGAACTGTACCTACCAGTGGAAGAGTTCAAGGCATGTTGCTAAGAAGTAAATCAGTACCCCAAGATAAAACTCTTCCATTTGTAAACATTCCCCTGGCTGATGGACAGGTATCAAACTTTTTTTTTTTTTTTTTTTTTTTATAAAACCATTTTCATCTTGTAGTAGCTGATAAACTGTGTATAGTCTGATAGTAATAGCTCTTGCTATCCCTAAATGAGCTGCTGTTAAAAAAAGGGAAAAATGGTTACTTAAGTTTTGTAGTGTAGCGGGAAATCGTGATTTTTTTTTTCAAAAAAGCAGGCCATGCAAGCAAAAACTTTCAGAATAGTTTTTACCTTAAAACTGCTTCTTTTTATGTTTAGACACTCTGTACGGCTGGTGGAGACCTCCATAATATTGACGTGCAACTACTAAATCAAGATACAGTACAGCATATTCATAATTTAGTGGTAAGCTTAAATGACGAGGCTTACATATAAATACTCAGACACCTAGTCTTGGGTTTTCATGTGTGATACTGCTATGAATGCAAATTCTGAGTGCTTTAACAGTTCTGAAGTTAAGCCTAATTACTTGGCATAAATTGGAGGGAGGAACAGGGAGGGGAGAACTGCTGCACACAGATAATGTGTAAAAGTAAATGCACTTAAATAAGTGTGTGATTGGTAATTGCCTGGGGAACCACAGAAGCATAAACTCTTTCTTCTAGATTGCTCTGGTGTCTCTCCTGCCATGTGAGCAAACTGCCATTCTCTATCTCATATTCACAAAGGCTTACAAAGCTGCAGCTAAGTTTTGATTCTTGTTATAATCTTTCTATTATTCTACATCCCTTGCTGAGTAAGAACTATACTCCTGTTAATTCTCTGCTGCAATTGAATGGTAATTGCCTTACCTTTGGTTCAGGGAAGTAAACTGTTTTGAAGCAGAATGAACTGAACTTTGTGGCACATAGTGCCTGACTCTTCTGAAGATAAGGGCACCTGGGCTTTTGCATGCAGTAATGTGCAGCACTAGAAATCTATCTAGACATAAAAAATATGAATCAGTTCAGTCTTGCGGGTATTTATACTTGAATGGAGCTGTATGAGTTAGATGTTTTGTATTTTGTAACATGGACCTGCTGCTGTAGGTAGAGAAGGGGGAGTGCTTGCTCACTGCTTGCTTTAGCAGTAGTGACTTCTGTTGGATATCTTGAACTAAAATTATTTTTTCCCCCCTTAGAGTGAGCTGACTGTACTATGTGGAAAAGCAACTAAACCAAGTTAATGGAACTGTCTTGTGACTACAGAATATATGCTTGCTGCCTCTGAAGTGTTTAGATAATGTCTATAATGTCTTAATAAAGCTGTATACTGCCCAGTAAATATTTTACATAAAAGCTTACAATGTGATGTGTATTACTAAATTCCTATTATCTCTGTGAAGGATATGAAAGCAGAAAATAGTTCTACTTTTTGAATTTCTTTATAAAAGGCTTAGCTAACATCTAACCTCAGTTCACAGTAAAATAAACAGTAATAGTTTGGATGTAGGAAGTAAGTTTTAACTCTGATATTCTAAATGGGACTTTTGAGGGTTTTTTACATAAGCTATTCCTAAGTCTAGAGCTCTATAATATTATTTTTTCCATGCATGACACAAGCAGAATGTAGTGTTGGTTTACTAATGTTTAGTCTTTGCAGTATCTCTCCCTGAATTTAACTCCAGAATTAAGCTGAAGTGCAAAGCATTTCAAGACATGTATCTAGTTCTGTGGTGGCATATATTAATCTGACACAGGAATTAAATTTATTTCTAGTCTTGTGCTGACATGACAGTAAAGGGAAAGATGACACATACTAACCCAGATGTACTCTAGTTTGTGGTGGTAGTTTTCTAGTACTTACATACTAGAGTACTAAGTACATATTACCGAGTAATTTGTAGGAAAGGCTGTTAACATCCCTCCAGGTAAAGATACCAAGTCCAGCAATCATGTTGTGGGTGCTCTAGGTTTTTCAGAAATTGAGGATGCACTTGGCTTTTACTCTCACAGTGGTGACTTCAATTAAAGTGTTTTCACTGTGGTAAAGGATGGTATGAAAGACTCCTACACTTGTTAAACTACTGTTTTAGTTTGAAATCTAGGTTAGTTTTTCTTCTGTTTTTACCCTTGTTTCCCTTAGGGAAACAAAAGTCACAACTTTCAAATAAGAAAAAAGAAAGCTTTCCAAGGCCTAGGAGAAAACTCATAAAGAGCATGCAGTTAAAACACTATCAAACCTCACTTAAACTATGCTCTCACTTGGTAACTGGAAAGTACAGGAGTAAACCTCTCATTCAGATTATACGTGAAGTTTATATAACACTCAGGAAGAGTTACTTCAAGTTAGTAGTTTAACCTGAATTAACACCTATTCTCCCTTAAATTGATAAGATCTATCACATCGATGTGGTATTAATTTTTGATTATTGCAGGTAAATGGGCATTTCAACATGAGTGATTTAACAACTGGACTAACCTAGTATACTACACTAATGTAACTAAAATTTGCAGTGTAGTACTGAAACCTTTAGGCTTTAATTTTTAGAAAAGGTATAGTGTGAGGCATGCTTTGTAAGACAGGCCAACACAGCTTTGTTGTGGATCTCAGATGGTGTTTAGGTAGGGTGGTAGTTGTATTACAAAAATAGCTGCTAGTGTTTAATCCAGTCTCCTCATTAGTGTTGTCTGAGGTACAATTTAGAGATTAGCTTTTTTTTGTGAATAAAAGGCTACTACTAAGAGCTAGGAAAGTGTTTCTCAGCCCTGACACAGAGGACAAAAGCACAGAATCTACACTGGAATGAAACATAAGCACTCTTCCATCAACTGAAGTCATTCTTACGAATTGTCACCAAGCTAAGAAGTCTTCAACAGTATTTATATCTACTATGTTCCTTTTAAATTTGTAAGAGGAATACAATTTAAATTCCCCACACCTTTTCAGTGATTTTCTGAACTTCTTGCATCAGCCTAAGGCTACACTGGAAGGTTATGGGTAAACAACTAAAACCCAATTTTCCTATTATATGCTACTTCGAGGGATGAGAAATTGCTGCATGTTAATAGATAAATCTTTGACTTATTTTTTCAAGCAGCAGTAAACTTTCTTTTACCGATTACTACTTCTCTGCAAACCTGTTTTTCAAAAGAACATAGCCTCATCTTTTATGTGAACAAGAACCATACCACTGTCACTATCCTATAAACAAATACTTGCTGTGAGCACATTTAATGTACAGAGGACAGATATGCCTTTCTAGATCAGTCAACTTTAGGTCAGTTTTAGTCACTGCATATACAGAACTAAGTATGTCACTAAGCTAGACATAACCTCCTGAGGTTTCTTCTTTTCATCTTCTTGAGGCAAATATTAAAGACAAAAATTCATCTAAAACAGTTCTGGTGATCACATTTTCTTCTCCAACATACCAACTACTCCTTATAGTACCACCTCTAACATAAGTACTTAGTTGCAGCTGTTATTACTGAGAACACTCAACTAATGTTTATTTGATTATTCATACAACAGTCACAACTGGCCCAGTGAAAGCATTAAAAGCTACGTTAAGCATAACAGTCAGTAAACTGCTAAAGCATTAGTAACCATAGTAGTATATTACTTGCAACTTTAATTCAGTCTACACTGTCTTGGTTTCAGTGTTTATGTGGTTTTTCCTAAATTACAACTTTGTAAAGGGATACTCTCTTAGTAAATCAGGAGATGCATATAAGGGCAACTCTGAAGTCACCACTCATTGAAAGATGCTGCTGTCAGGAGCCTAAATTAATGCACTTTCAGGACTGAAACAGAACTAGACTAACTTACACTACATACAGTGATTGACTTTCCCTCCACCCCTTCACTTCAGCACGCTATCCAAAAAGTTACCATAAACCCTCTTCCTCTATCCCCCCAAAAAAGCAATTTGCAAGTAAGGAGATAGTAAGTTTAGAATACATAATCCATTTTCCTCCATGGTGGTAAATGCTAAAGCTATGCCTTAAAAGCAGAAGACAGACATTTTAATCATTCATGCATTACAGGTTAGCACGACTGACTTCTTGGAAATATAAATTGGGAGAAAGGATCAGTATGTAACCATGGCTTCATGAAAAGCAACCTAGAGTTTTAATAACTGAAAAGAAAGATTCACTAGATGTGAGTACCACGGCGTAAGAAGTCAATGCTGAAATACAGATCAAACAGTATTTATTCTTGCTTCAGTTTTAGAGTCTGCAACAAGGATGTTCAGCAACACTCAAATGCCAATGCCTACCCAAGCACATGGAAACCCCTGGAGTTTGTCCCTCCAGTTTCATCAGTAAAGTGTCAACAACTATTTGAGCAATAATTAAACAAGTCACACTTCAGATTTGTAAAGAAAAGTAGAGGCAATTTTCAACTTCCTTGCTTCCAACAGGGAGAGAAACCTCACTAGAGAGAAGTAGCTTACCAACAGAAGTTCATGCACAGTAACATAATGCTTAGATAACTAAGTGTACCTGATAATTATTTAAGGTCACATTTTCACTTTGTTGTGGTATTTTTACCAATTAAAAGCACATGAAAAGGAACAGAACTGAAGCTGGAGAACTTAATGTCTTAGTAGTTAAAACAGAAAGCACAAACTATTGGAAAAGTAACAAAACCATCTACATTTAGTGTGTTTCCATGTCAAAAATTTTCGTCAAGTACAATACTAATCTCAGTTTCTTTACAAATTGTTAATCCAAACACAAGTTGCCAGGCATATTATTCATTTTAATGAAGACTTTTAAGACTGGAAACATTTCTCTAGAAAGTCAGGCCAAATCAGGCTTTGAATTTGAATTCAATGGTAAAGACATCATTTGTGGATTTAATAATTTTCATTTGAAAGGTTTTGTTATCTTCTGATTGAGCTCATAATATCCTTGTGTTTTCTTCACACAAAGGGGACATGGCTGCAGACTTTTCTGTGCCCACTTAGTCAATATCTCATTTCAAGAAGAGACTTTTATGTGGTACACAATTGTTGCCTAACTGCAACCTGGTCTTAAAGCAGCTTCAGCCTCTCCATGTTTATAAGATGTCTACCATCTACATAATCTCTTTGAACACAGAGTAGTAGTTAAAGCCACTGCAAAAGTAAGAGTTACAAGGCAAAAGAAATATATTATACACCAACTGCTTTTATTTAATTTCAGAAACCGTTCACAAGATGGTAGAAAAAACTTACAACCACTTCTAATTTAGGTCTTCCATTGTTCCCAGTCAGCTCTAAACCCTTAATGTGCAAAGCCCATTTACCATGCATCTAGATGATAGATACAGGCTATGAAATTCTTTATTCTACTTGTAGCAGCTTATGCAGATGCAGCCAAATACCAAGCCTCAGGACAAATTGTACACAAACTTTACAATGTAGAATTTGAATTTAAAACATGAAACTTAAAATCTACACAAAACTGGTAAAAATCAAGCACAGATACAAGGACAAACTTAAAACCCATTGTGAAAAGGAGTCTCGTCTTCCTTTCAAGTGCTTTATTCTGCTACACAGTCAAAATGAAGATGTAAGCTTGTGGTTAGTTTAAATTACACTCTGTAGATACTATAGACCAATTTAAAAGTTACACATACAGCAATAGATGTCCATTGGTTCATCTGGATTACTTACACAATCCAGCTGGATTGTTGAAAACAAGTCAGGCAAAATTTGAAAGAAAATCCTTGTGCAACTTTTTAGACAAACGTTTACTGATGGGCACACTGTACCCCAGGTCCATGATGGCTGCTTTCTTCATCAGAACTATCGTTATAAGCTTCACGTCTCTGGCCACCACCTGAACCACGAGTGGTATCAAATTCCTGAAGATCTACCTCTTCTGCATCACCAATTACATTGGGAAATTCTGGTCTAGCTGGCAGAAGATCTTCAAGTTCCTGCCCCAAAAAAAGAAGTGTATTCAGTACTGCATCTACAACTGCTAAATAAAGCAACCAGTTTCCTTCAAGACTCCCTCCTCAGAGCAGGTTTGGTTTAGAAGTCTGAGGTAAACCTGAACTGCATATTCATTTGAAAGTATCCAAACTGTATCAACTGGAAGATGCCACTTAAAACCAACAGCTTCTCATATCATCCACCAAAAGCACAATCAGTAAATACAGTTGCACTCTGAAAATTTATCATGCAGCAGCAGGAAGAGTCTCCCTCCTGCCCTCATCTGCCCAACATAAGCACAGTTCTTAAATACAGGTTCCATAAATTCATATTCCAAATGGGTATTTTCAAGTTACATGTTGCTCATAAACAATGTTAAAAACAACTGTACTTGCATCTAAATTTAAGCACTGAAAGCAAGCACATGAGGTAAA